AAATCTAAGAGAGAAGGTAATAACAAAAAACACACAATTACAAAATTGATAGGACCAGGAAATCAAATGTTTACAAACAACACCGAAATACTGCAACAATGCAAGGAATTCTATGCAAATTTGTACACATCCAGACAGGTGCATGAGGATGAGATAGAGAATTTTCTGGGAAAGGTTGAAATACCACTCACCTTGTCTGGGGAAGATAATATTTATTTAGATAGCACACTGCATGATAAAGATTTCGAAAATGCGTTATCGCAAATGAAAAAAGGGAAAACCCCCGGCTCAGACGGACTTACTGTTGAGTTTTATCAGGCTTTTTGGGACATCGTAAGCCAATTAGTAATTAATTCTATTAGAGAAGGCTTGGAAAAAGGAGAGTTATCGGTATCTCAAAGAAAAGCCGTCCTTAAACTGCTACATAAAGGTGGGGAAGATAATAACATTGATAACTGGAGACCAATCAGCTTGCTTAATGTTGATTTCAAAATATTGACACAAATATTAGCGAATAGGTTAAAACCTTTTTTATCCAAACTAATAAATGTTAATCAAACTGCTTATATAAAAGGGAGAAGTATTACACAAAACATAAGACTACTCTTAGACATCATGACATACACAGCAAAAGAAAACATACCCGGATTATTGTTATTCCTCGATTTTAAAAAGGCTTTTGATTCTGTGGAACGAAATTTCTTATTTAAAGTGCTAGAAAAATACAATTTTGGAAATCAATATACGACTTGGTTAAAAACAATCTACACTAAATGCACAAGCGGAGTTATCAACAATGGCTGGATTTCTGACTTTTTCCTTTTAGGCAGAGGAGTGAGACAAGGCTGTCCACTATCCGCAATTCTTTTTCTTTTCGTAACGGAAATACTAGCATTACATATAAATCAAAACAAAGAAATACTAGGAATTAAAATTGTAGATGGTGATAACATAAAAGAAATAAAAATCTCTCAAGTTGCGGATGATACAACATTGTTATTAGGAAAATGAAAAAGTACTGTACATACTGCAATAGATACACTGTCTTACTTTAGTAAAATTGCAGGACCTGAACTAAATCTTAGAAAGACACAAGCTATCTGGCTTGGTTGTTGGAAATTCAGGAAAAAACAAATACACGGAATTTCCGTACCCCAAACACCAATCAAGTCTTTAGGAATTTATTTCAGTTATGATAAAAAAGAGTGCAATGAAAGAAATTGGCATGAAAAGGTTACAAAAATAGAAAGCATGCTAAACATATGGAAGAACAGAAAGCTAACTCTATATGGAAAGGTAACTATATTAAAAACTCTAATAATGTCACAAATAACATACTGTGCTACAGCTCTATTAGCCCCAGAACAGGTTATTGTTAAACTACACCGTCTATTTTATCAATTTTTGTGGTCAGGGAAGAAAGACAAAATAAGAAGATCGGTTACCAT